GCAGTTGGCTACCAGGATGCTATAGCCATGCATGGCCCTGGGTTGCTTCCTGGGGCTTCTGCACCAGCATTTGGGCCACAGGAGGAGGGAGAAGGGGACACTGAAGGGTACCTGAGTTTCTTCTCCAGATTCTCCCTGTTGTGGACTACACAGGGACCGAGTCAGCCTCCAGCCTAAGTCAGAGGCAACCTTCAGCTGTGCGTCAGCAGGTGAAACTACACAGAGGCATAACGGGGGGAATTAGTGCCAGCCTCGTTTTATAAACCATCACCACTTCCCACACCTCACAGCCTTCAGTATCTCCATTCAGGTAAATGCAACACAAGACAGCAGTTGCTTTGGCAGCAACCACCCGAAGTTCCTCCTCCAGGCAGAAGCAGAGGCTCTCTGGGAGAGCAGCGCAGTTTGTACCATAACCACAGAGCCTGCTCTGGGATTCAGGGCAGACAGACGCAGTTATTTCCATAGCTATAGGCAAACGAAATGCAGAGCAGCGGAGGTTCAGCCCTGTGCTGTCGCAAGCTCTGCATTAAAAGCAGAAGTGCTCGGGCTTGTGTACGCCTGCAGCAGGTAGCAACTGCTCTGCTGACGGGCCCTGGTATGGCAGCGCAGCATTTGCACAGACTTTGTCAGAGAGGACTGATCCATTTGCTCCTGATAACCAAGCATCCACAGCCTTAGTGGGCTCCACCGATGTCTGCTCGGCTCCTCTTTCTCTTGCTGGTGACACCACCGTGTCCTTCACCAGCCCTCCTGCCTGGCAAAGGCAGCCCCAGCAGGGTTTCCCAAGCTGCCCATTGCCAGGGGTGGGCATCTCCAGGCTTTTGAGCTGCCTGCATGTTCCTCTCCCCCTTCCTCCCCACTTCAACCATAAAACAAAAAATACCAAAAAAAAAAAAAAGTTATTCAGTGATTAGGGATCATGCAGCTGCCTGCTGCACTCATCAAAGAGAAGGAAGTGCCAATTATTTCCTGGTACAAACTGTTTCTGTAACCGAACTGAAGAGAGCTTTGATTAACGTTTATTCCCTCCCACCCCATGTACAAGCAGTCGCTCACAAACTCCAGGATGAGGCAACTGCCCACGCCCTGCTCTCTTCATACTTTCACAGCACCGCATTAATACCTTTGTTTCCCTGCAAAATTCACCATTTCCTTGTAGAGCATGCACAGAGCCCGGGGAGTAGGGCAGGGGCAAGTTCACAGCAGCACTGCCACCTCCAAGCTCCACACGAACAAATAGTGAATACCCAGGTCCCAGAGCATCCTGCCAAACTGGGAACCTCAGCTGATGGAAGATGCGGGAACCGGATTTTTACTGGGAATCTTCTTCCAACCCCCACCATGTGCTGTGTTAAGAGAAAAATTACTTTTGAGCTTCCAGCAATGTCTCACCTGAGGCTGAAAAGCCCTGCCCTAGGGCCTCCCAGGCCCTGGGACCTCACACAACTCACGGCCCTGCTAGGTGGGAATAGGAGGACGTGGCAGCTCCAAGGGGAGCCACACAAAAAAGCCTCCACAGAGAGCATGCAAGGGAGAAACCAAAAAAGTTTTTTTTTTTTTTTTTTTTTTGTATTATTTTTTTTCCAGTGTTGGTAGCTGCAGTTTTGTTTCTGTTTTGATTTTGGTTTGTTGTTTTCTTTTAAAACACGGATAGATACAACGCTTTCTGGAAAAGCTTATCTCCTAAAACAGTAAACACATCAAGTTAGGAAATCACACTGGGAAAAGAAAACCAGAAAAAAAAAAAAAAAAAAAAAAACACAAAACACCAAGCAGACCTTCACCTTTGTATGCTATTTTCCACCTAGTTCTCTCACAACCCAGCTTTAAGATTGCCTTTACCTAAAACTAAGCCATGTGTCTTTTTTTCCAATTACCATGTTCTTTAAGTGCCGTGAAGGTGTTTAAATTGCTATTTTAATGAAGCAACCCCGAAAAGCCCATTAACTGTAGTAAACACAGTGTGTGTAATGCAGTGCAGTAAACCCCACTCAGTCACCTGCACAGACCCATACCAGAGGGGACCAAGGACACGGTCCCCCAGCCACCACGCTCCAGCACAGCCCTGTGACCTTAGAGCAGCTGCTCTGTTCAACTCTGCGCCTTGTCCTCCCCTCCCCGTTTTGTACAGAGAGATGCACGGAACACAGAGACACGGTTTAGCTTGCTGACATAATGCCCATATTTAATCTTTTAAAACAAGAACAAAATCAAGAATAAAATCAAGAATAAAAATTTCATTTAAGTCATACAGTACATTAATCTTTCAGCAATGACCCAATCTACAGTACTCGAATGCCTGGCATGAAGTCTATTATCTCAGCGTTTAACAAGTGTATAACCAGTGACACAGTAAAAGAAGAGCTCACAAGACATGGCTAATACGATGAGTTTAGATTTTCTTCTACGAGTCCAGCGAGGGTTTGTGATACGCGGGTCACTTCGAAACAGTACTTTAATCCACTTTTTTGGTTCAGTCAATCTGTTTGGGGCTTTTCTCTGTTACACAAGTTTTTCCATTATGTACAGGAAGATTTATTTCAAATGAAATTGCACAAGTCAGAATATCTATCTATAGGCATACATGGTCAATCTAACTAAAAATTTAATAAGCGGTAATTACTCAGTCCTGGTTATACATTCCTAAAGGCTTAATAATACAGTTTTAAAAGAAAAGAAAACAAAACAGAACACAGTTGTAGGGTGGCAACCTCTGTAAGAAGCCTCCTTCCCTCCGAAAACAACCGAGTGTTTTTACTTTCTGCATTTGAAATGGGGTCTACAAAGAAGTCATTTCAGCTCCTAGATAATGCGAAACATGTGACTGTGTCCTTTCTAAAGTCTGAATGGTTCAATGCGTAATTCAGTGAAGCTCTCATACAAATAATACTGGTAGGATGCAGACTGTTAACAGAAATTAGGACAATATGCCCTGACGGCATATTTGGATAGCAAAACTATGGGTGTTCGGGGGCTAGGATCCAGTGGTTAAAGCAGCTTGAAGCAGGACAACCCTCCCCGTGGTGCAGAGGAGGGGAAAGGGCACGCTCCTCTGCTTCAGCCAGGGCTGAAGCTGGGCTGTCCCCAGCTCCCTTCTGGTGGGGCACCTGCCCCTGCCTGCTCTCCACCCTTGGGCAGGACGGCTTACCAGCTTCCGAGGGCAATCCTGCAGACCTGGGGCGACCCGAGACCCTTGGCTCCTGGTGCTGGCGGGCAGGGGAAGGGCTGCGTCTGCTCCAGCTGCAGGGCTGAGGGCTCCCTCGACTCGCTGCTGCTGAGGAGCCCCGCAGCCAGGAGGCTGCCCGGCTGTGGCCGCAGCTGCTGCGCACGTCTGAACGCAGGAACGAACGAACAGGAGATGCCTCTCCATGGAGTAGTGTTACCAAACGTGAAAGACCCAGAGGGCTTAACCTCTCGGGTAAGCTAACTAAACACAAGGGTAGCAGAACATCACCTTCTCACATTAGCAAAACAAACGTCATCAGCTAACACAACTGCTTTGACTTTTTTAATCTCTTTTGTGGCGTTGGGTCCTGCTACAAATGGAGAAAACACACAGACAACCGCCTTCCTAGGTGGGAAAGCAGCAGAATCTTAAACCTTAAGGATCTGCTTTGTAATTTGCTACTGGCATAAACAAAATGAGTCCCATTTGTTTGTGTTTTTTGTTTGTTTTTTTAAGAAAAAAATCCAGACCATCCAGTGCACCTTCTCTGCACATACACACACACGCACACACACACACTGATGGAGAGCTCCAGAAGAACAGGCATGGGAACCACAAAGCTCAAACTGTGAAGAGACATGGGCAATCTCTCCTTTCTATATTAAATTCTCATTTAGCAATGAAGCAGCAAAATGACATGTGGTAAGAAATAAATGGTCACAGAACACACATACACTCAAATGCAACCATGGGTAGGTTTTTAACATTTTTTTCCTCAAAAGCTGTTATTCATCTGATAGTTTCTTTCTGGCTGTGCTGAAGTTTTTGAAGAGCATCTGGTGCTTCTTTAACCATTATCAGAGTGTACGAACCTCAGTGGCCATGGACAATCAACCTCATTAGTGCCACGAACAACCACCTCCACTTGAGATTCTCTACAAAGCCTTTCTAGAAGTTGAATCTGACTCTGCCCCTTTGGTGCCACTCTTTTTTTTTTTTTTTTAAATTAACAAACACAGCGTATTAATGCAAATTTGATTTTTTTTTTTTCTAAAAATTAGAAATGCTCAGATTATTAGTTCAGCAATATGCAAAGTGCATCTATTTGGTTCTTTCCATAGATCGCCTTCTTTCGTAAGTTTAAATTCCTTCACAGTTTAAAATATTGTGAAGAAATTATATGTATACTTTATGTATAGAACTATTTATATACATACACGTATATACACACAACTCTGTACTTTATATAGTCATAAACACCCATTACTTAGCTATTTATAGTATATACACATGGCATGAACACACGCTCTGTGAAGAGTTGGTGCAGGCTGAAATCATTCCATCAGGTTTAATGGAACAACAACAGTGAAACCATGAGTGAGTTATCAAGAGACACAGACACACATATATTAGATAAGGGAAAGACCAATTAAATCAGCTCTTCCATTTTTCCTATTAACACAGGATTGTTCCCCCCATTCCCACCTTCCATATGCTCACACACAGCTATTCTGCATTCAGTTTACATGAGAGGGCAGTGGCGGTTCTTCTTCCAAGTGAAAGAACAGTCCATATTTACTCAGGCTCGTTGCAACCTCTTCTGCAAAAGTGCAGCACAGCTGGGTCTGGCCATCCTGGAGGACTCCGAATGCCGCGCTGTTGTTAGCTGAAAGCACCTGCTGAAGCGTTATTGCATGGTTATGGAACAGCTATCAATTGCTCACAGTCTGTGAACTCCCTCTCCAACAAGTGGTACAACTGTATAAATACATATTTTAGCACAAAACAGTTTAACACGAGGCAAGTCCGGGTACGAATGAAACCTAAAGGCCTATGGGTGAACTTTAAAGGCCAAGAGTTCTTCAGAGTGCATGTTGTTTAAGGAACGCAAGTCGGGTAACTTCAGAAGAAGTTTTGTGAAAATAGAGGCTTCATTGGGGTGATTTTTCATGATTAAGGTCCTTAATGCACGGATTAGTGTTTCCTGAAGTGCCTCCACAGAATTGACATTTTCTATTCCAGAGCGATCTAAAGAAAAGAAAAGAGGGGGGAGAAGAGAGAAGGAGAAAAAAAAAAAAAAAAAGAGAACTGAACAGATGTAGGTTGCAACATAAAGCCACTGTAAGAATTAATCCATTAGCAAATGAACAATTAAAGCACAGATACCAGAAGCCTTTTCAAACACTACTTAGCAACAGCATTGTAAAGTATGAAGTTCACCATGCTGAACTGGTGGCATTCAGTCACCTTTCCTGTAATCACTTACCCACCTTTCCAGAAAAGGACAGAAGCATGCACTTAAATGTTTTGCTGAATCATAACTTTCAACACAAAGAAGAGACAAGGAAGGCACTTCGAAGTAGACTTTTCAATTAATTCTCAAGGCAGGACACAGAACCCTAAACTTGTGATTTACCTTTGGTTACGGAAATCCCACTTAGGACAAGTCCTGCTTGTTTTTGCACAATGGGATCCCCAGTGGCAAAGGGAGCACAAGCCTTGACATGAGTGGGCACTATCTCTGAGCGTTCTGCAAGCAATGACTAAATGAAACATGATGCACCCAAAAATCCCCAGCAAAAGGAAAAAATTTCAACATCAAGAAAATAATACATCTTCACATACTGCACTCACCTTGCTTCTGAAGCTTCTCTTTCAAGAAAGCTGTATTTAAGTACATGCCTGTTTTCCTTGGGTGGAAGCAGTAGCTTAAAATGATAAACTTTAAGCAGGATACCTCACCTACTAATCATGCACAGTAGCTGTTTTTTCCAGGCTGTAGCCAGCTGTTCCTAAACTCCATGGAAATTCAGCAGGGCACACACGAGTGACAGACACGAACATAAATGTACTTCGATGCGTACGTGTACTTAAGCGCTGGGACACAGCATTACAGCAGCTTCCTGGTGTACCACTGAGTCAGATCACACAGTCAGAGTGGGAATCCCCTGCCTTATGCTGTCAGCACCAATCTGATCAGAGTTCTCAGGTGAAGAGAGTGCACAGAGTCCTCCTGGACTATTTGGTGCAGCTCCCTACCATTATGGGAAGAAGTACTATATAACCCACTTAAGGATCCATCTTAAAGCAGTTATCCTTTTTTTTTTTTGTTGTTCCTGTAGGAAGATGGTTCCAGAACCTTTTACTCTAACAGTTAGGAACTTCGATTAATGTCAAGACACGATAATTAGCATCCATTCCACTCTTCTGTACAAACTGTCTATTAGGTTTGATAGCTGCTCTTCAAGAGAGAGTGTATGAGAACATGAGCGAAAAGAAACTTCTCTGCCTTTGTTAAGCTAACTATTCCTCTTGCCCCACCTCTGCAAACCCTCTAGCTTTGCTCTGCCCTGAGCAGGGATGATTACATTTGCATCAAGTTTGCCAGGTTGACTTTTCCTCAAGAAATCTGTACAATGACATCAGTGCTTCCTCACCTCAGCAAAGGCAGTCCAGACTTTCCTGGTTGCCTCGGTTGAGTTGCTGTAACCTCCTCAGCTCAATAAATCTAAGTATTTCTTCGCCCTCTCAGTCTATTTCTGGTTGCTCCCAATGGCCAGCTGAAGGTTTCCTTAGTGCTATCCAAATAAGAGAATAATAGAGGGTGTGTATTGTATATTCTACCACAAAGCATCACCCTCAGTTAAAGAGATTATCTGGTCTCTAGACCTGCACGAACAGCATTCTTTCAGCTTTGCTTCCATCGCACTTCCTCCTTCTTCAGTGCCTGCTGATCTGTCCTGCCACTTCTCCTCCATCTTCAACAATCTCAGCTAACTGAAGCCAGAGGTGAAGCATTCATTTCGTTTTGGAATGGAACCAGTGTAATTCCTCAACACCACCAGAAGCACTTCCATGGCCTCACAAGACCCTGGTTGTTCTTTCCTTGCCATTTGACACCAGAGCAAGGGTTATATGCAGTTACACTCCTTGCTACTACCATGCTTCTTCACCCTGCTTATTCTGAATGTTGCCTTGTAAGAGTGGTTATTCAACCAGTCGCGCAGAGATGATTCAGACAAATGTCCTCCCTACCAGCATTATTTAGAGGCTTACGCATGTTCCTTTTTTTTCCCTCCGCTGACATTTTCATAGACACAGTTTAAGCAAGTTGAAGTCTTTCTAGAGTATTTTTAAATAGCACAGCACCTGAATTTTAGTCCGGTTTACTTAATGAGCATTCAATAATCACACATTCCTGTCTGTTTCTGGAAGTGATGTGAATCTTGACTATCATCCTTTTTTTATCTTCTCTTTCTAACTTTCATTCTGAGATGAAGTAGGCATAGATGAAATAGACATCTTAATAGTCTTACTCTTCTACCTTCAGTTCGTCTTCCAGCTACAGCATCTTCTCCCTTTGTTTGCATCTCCGTGTCGTTTTCTCTAATGCTGTACCCTCAAACTCTTCCTCCTCCTTTAACTGAGCTCTTCCTCCACCTCATGACAAATGACTCCCTGGGTCATGCTTCTCCCCGAGGGGTAGGGTTCAGAGGACCTGCCTTTAGAGATCCGCTTCATCAGCAAGTGCACAGTCCTACAGGTCCTTTCTACTTCTGGCAAGCCCCACACTGCAAGCATCTTCCTCAGGAATGCCAGAAGGTTCTTCTTTTTCCCCAAGCTCTGTCAGGGGGCACTTCTCAGGCACACACTCAATTATGAATATTGCTCAATTACTTGTGGATGTCATGACTGTGGCATTTTGGTTCTATTGCAAGTGACAACGTAAAGTTGGTCAGAACATTGTTGTATTCCTTCCATGTTCTGAACTCCCAGTGACAGCCAACTGAGCCTGAAACATGGCACAAACTCAAGTTTGGGCCCAAACATTAAAGACCAATGAAGTTGTGTTTTGTAAAACTCAATAAACATTTTGTGAAGAACTCCAGTGAAGTGGTGATCAGACTCCAGACTGGGTCCCAAGGAAGCTAAGACAGGCAGCACAAATGTCCAAAACCATAATCTGAAGAAACCTCAGCTGCAACAAGAAGCCTAAATGCCAAACACTTCATCTTTATGTCCTGTTCTGTGGCTCTGACACTGTGGTTGTATACCTGCTTAGAAGTGTTCAAGCTAGATACCATTCCTTGGCTAAATCATACTGAGAACCAGCAACAGCACGGAGCAGTGTTTAAATGGCTGGGGGGAGGGAGAGAGGCTCTATGCTAGGACACCTAACAGAGCAGAGAGCACTTACACTCAAAACAGGCAGTACAGACACCGTGATATTCTAGGGCCCTGCAGCTGAGCAACGAGAATGGCTGTGGCCTAGTTATGACATTGCACAAGGAGGGAGGAGGCCCAGTTCTCAGTCCTCACTTTGAAGGTTGTCTTCAGTTCTTGTCAATTTATTTTTGGAACGATACATGTAAAGCAGAATCTGGAAAAGCAACCAAACCCCCAGATTTCTGCCCGCTACCTGAATATTTTCACTAAAAGACTATGGTACCACACTTCCTTCACACTGCCTTTCCTTCCAGCTTTGAAGCTTGCAAACTCCCTACCACCCACTGCTCATTACCACCACTTACAAACTGAAGGGGCTACAGCTGCTGCATCCTCTGCTGCCACATTTCAGTCAGGCCATGCACGATGCTGCTAGACTGAACTGTCCCACCTTGTTTACAAAGGCTTCATGTGCCTACAGCACCGTGCCTGCAGTGTCCCTCCCTGATAACAGACATGGGTCTACACCACTCACATTGAAAACCTCTTGGCCAAGAGGTGAACAGCTCCCAGACACTGGCTTGTTGTATAATGGGCACTGCCAGCATTCCTCCAAGCTACCTCTAGAGAGCTCCTTATCCACCAAGCAGGGATTCTGCATCTTGTATTCCAGGCATTATATGCAGAGCTAATGTGCCTAATGTGAGGCTTTAGATAATACTACAGAAGTAGGTGCTTAATCCTTCTTTGAATCCGGGCCAGGGTGTTCTGTATATCCAGGGACTGAAACAAGATACGAGGCTGGTGGAGATGTTAGTGGATTGGCAGACCTTCAGCTGTAAGAAGTCACGATGCACACAAATAGGGCTTTCTTGCTGACATGGTCAGAGATCAAACCGTTGGATTTAGATTTAAGTAAGATACGCAGAAGGCTTCGATGACCATACTCAGAAGTAAAAATACCACCTTATCCCAAGACTTAGGCTGTTCAAGTCAGGAGCAATTTCATTGATGCTGTCCTGTGAAACTTAGATGAGTCAGGGAAGAGTCAGACAGCTCCTAAATAGCCATTGGGTAACTATGCAATGTATTTTTGAATTCTACAGAAAGCAGAAGGAAAACATAAGCCCCTTGACACATTTTTCCAAAAGACCATATTAGACATAACGGATAAGGAAAAAAGCAAATTATAGGCTGCTAGTAGCGTGAAACCTACTAAATGGGACTTAGGCTTGAAATAACAAGATATATTGTTTAAAGAGATCTTTTAGTAGAGAAACCATATTCAAAATTTAGCCAAGATGTAAATTACTCTTCTCTCCTTACCAGCAGATACCAGGACAACCGCTGTAAATAAACTCATCTCCTCATCACTAAGTTGCAGGGCATTTAGTTTCTCACTGAATTCAAACATGGAGTTGAGCAGATCACCGGCTCCCATCGAATGCAAGTCGTCCACACTGTACTTCTTTCCACTGAGGAAGGTGACGGTACGCTCCTTTGCATCAAACAAAGATGCAAACCGTACCATCAAAACCTGGTGGAGGAAGAGACAAAAACAAAAAGCAAAGAAACAAAGGTGGATTTCTCAAAAAAAAAAAAAAATTAAGCTATTTAACATCATTCAAAACTGCCTCATTCTTATTGACTACCATACAAGCATTCTGTATAGAAACTCCCAGCATGCTGTTGAGTTGTAGGAAACAGTGCAAGCTCTGCCACAGTAGTATTAGAGAAACGAGCAAAAAACTTAGGGAGTGGATGCAGGAAAGGGGCTATGGAACATGAAAGGGAGGAAAATTAAAATTTAAGCCTCAGACAGCCTGAGCCATGAGCACATTGCCATTCATAACTATGCAAGGAGGACAACTTGCTTAAGCCACTGAACAGCCAAAGGCATACAGAGCATTAGAAGAACTGTTTTCTTGGCCACACTTAGGAGCAGCAAAGTAAAGGTATTGAACCAGGTTCTCGTTTGGTGTAAAGTGAAGCAGCTCCATCGGAACAATGCTGATTTACACCACCTGGTGATCTGGCCCACTAGGCATTCTTTGGGAAAGTACCATGCTGCATCACTGTTTCCACAGGAATGTTAATGAGCTCTGGTAGAAAAGAGCCACACATACAGCCTTCAAAAGGCTACAGAAGCGGGGCTGAAACGGCACCTGGTCTGTAGCTGCAGCTGGGAATACCCCTTTGGTACAAGCACCTGGGCTGGAGCAGTTGACATGTGCTGAACTTACCCCTCTGGGCTGAAATTTCTCTTGTGGTTTCTCAGCCGTATTGTGAAATGTTTCCCTGTGGAATGGCTTGTAAAGTTTCATTTGCTCATGTTCAACAACCTCATTTACATTTTCAAGGTTTAAGTTGCACACAACAGCCTTCTTATTTGGAGAAAGTGAACCAACTGGCACTGGTTAAAACTTCAGACTTGCTGTACCTTCTTGGCATGAGTCATCTCTTCTCACTTACGCTACATAACTGCATTAATTTAAATGATGTTTACTACAGATGAGCGAAGAACTGGGTTTTCAGAAAAGACTAGTGCCTTTGACAAGCTTAAAAAACAGGAGGGTTCAGGAAAAAAAAGAAAACGTTTGAGAACTCAAACACCATTCATGCACATTACGTGACCTGATGCTACATTTAAACAGCCACATGACATGCAGCAATCTTGATGGACGCATGAACACTATATATTATTCACCTTTGTCACCTAAGCTGTTTGTCTTTGGATGACACTTACTATAGGGAGCAGAAACCTAGGCTCTACAGAAGCCCTCAAAAATGCAACAAAAGGAGACTGGAAGCAGGGACCCACCACTTTATACTCAACTTTCCCATTCCAAACACTACTCCCCTTACTGGAATGGGCTTTAGAAGCACAAATCACTAACTTCGGATAATGGTCAACCAGCATAAATGCTAATCTTCAAAACTGAAGCCCACGAAGCTGTCATGATTGGCAAAGACCTCTCTTAGGGATTTCAGCATCACAATTCTAACCCAGGGAAGCACAGTTTAGACTATGGTATAGCACGTGATTAATTTTTTCATGTTTCACCTCAAGCCAGACTCGTACTTGTGCATGCTGAGGACATACCTGATCAACCCTACCACCTGACCATAGCAACACAAGCACATAAAACCCCACAGTCAAGTGTTTGCTCACTTCCCCACCACCTGCAGCCAAATTACCAAGTGAGTCTGTACGTAAATTGAGCCACTAGCCCCGTGGATCTAAGGAGCTTGTTAGCTCTACCGTTAATTACATTTGGGGTGGGGGAGGACCAGCTCAAGGCCAGCTGAGGATCTTACTTTAGGCTCATTGTTGCCCTCCTGAGCCGGCTCCCACACAAAGCCATGCAAATGCAACTACAATATACGGAGCTCCACAGTACTCCCCGTTCTAAGGCGGATTTGTAGCTCACACGTGTGAATATATATATAGCGATGTTGCTTCTGCACCCACACCAAGTCCATGCATCTTCTCATCTTCAAATGAATAAGCACTCCTTGAGTACGAGCTGCTGTTAAGCACAGTGCCAAGACAGCTACACGCCAGTGCCCGAGGGAGACAAAACAGGGTCAGAGGCAGGAGTTTTCTCAGGCTTTTCTATTAGCATGCAGATGCTGGGGTATCCTAGTTTAGTTACCCAGAAGACAGAAATGACCTTGTAGACACCAGGCTTTGAAGATGCTTTTGCTTCTACTGAAATGGTTTCATTAATCCTGTAGGTTTTATTCATTGCTCTGCAGCATTATCTTTTTGATGTTTTCTCTGTTGCTAAAATGCCACACAGGCCTCTAACTACAGGTACAAGTCCACTAACAGAAATCAGTATTAGTGTTTCTTTTAAATGGGTGAATAGGGATAACCATGCAGCCAGACATTAGTAATTCCCCTGAACATAGAAACCTTTTTATCAGCAGTGCTTGTAACTGGCAAACAGGCATATGAATGAAGGTTTAGAAAAGCTGGAGGTGAAGAAATGCCAAGACAAAACATTTTACTTGCAAAACACGAGGGTTTGGCTTTAACTTATATGACCAGTTAGAGCCTGATTTTCCACCCTCCACCTCCTTTGAGGACACAGGACACTATTTGGCTTTGCAGAGGAGGAACCAACATTTTTGTGTAATGTTTACAGCAATGTAAGAGGCTGAGACTCAAGAAGTAAAAATATTGCCCCTAGCTACAGAAGAGTTCTAGATTAAAAGGTCAAGAATAACAGGAAAAAATACATGAGAACTAAATGGAAATACAGAGAGAAACTGACACACCCCAGACACCAAGTCTTCCGGTATAACTTGTACCTTCCATCCTAACTATTATCCATTTTAGAACTGGGCTGCTTAAAAGACCCAACGCATTACAAGAGAAACGTCTTCAGATCAGGTAAATACAAAATACAAAAGCATTCCTCTTTGAAAGAGCAAGTCAGGTAAACAAGAGCAAAAGCATCAGCAACCCTGCCCTCCCCAGAAAAGCAAAGTAACACTGAATACTTTGGGCTCCATCTCATCTCTATGCTTACATTTCACACTTGTCTACTTATAAAATGTGCACGATACCTATAAATATACGCAAGAGTCTGGAAGAACAATTAGAACCTTAAGTAAAGGTCCCCTCACAAAGGTCACTAATTACAAAGCAGCACCGAGCCCTCTGGCATCATTTCCAATTTACCACCACTAGTGCACATTTATGTCATGACCACTAGTGGGTGAAACCAACCGTGAGGACCTGGTGGGATTAATGTCTACTGTAAACCAGGCTGCAGCTGGTACATGGGATTTAGAGAGCTGCAGCAGCAGTTAGCTATCAGTGTTACTGCCTTGGAGAACGATGGGGGCTTTAGTGATCCCCAGCTGCCACCGCAGGATGGGTGCTCCAGCAAGGGTATGGAACATCGTGGAAGAAGGGAGGACATCCAGAGTGATAAATGCATTCCTCTGCAAATTTGTGAAGTCAATGGATAGCTTTCTAAGCCTATCCACCCTTCCAGATGCAGTCTGCTTCTCTCCAGGCTAAGCAAAGGTAGCTATCAGAATAACTGCTGCTACATAAAACCAAGAAGCTCCTCATTAGTCATTTATTAATGCCCAGGGAAGCAAGAGGGCTGAGTACTTTTTGTCTAGCTGGAAAAGAGACAGCTCACCAATACCTGACCAAGCAGCACTTGGACACCACCAGCTTAAGGAAAACTCAGAGCAGGCATCCGTGAACAAACTGGTGCTACCCAACCCAGTTCTATTGATTTTTGTTCTCAGAGGGGTCAAACTGACATACAGCTTGTCAAGTCGGCAATACACACACAGTGGTCTCACCTCAAAGGTCCCAGCCTTCAGAAGATTAACCTGGTCATGTTGGGAGAGATCTCGGAAACCCGGGATGCGCTTGGCGAACTCCACCACTTCCTTCACTGCAGGGGTAAAACTCAGGGAAAACTCTTCCCAGACTTCATGGCCAGACTTGTTTGGGTCCACGTGGGGAGTCTTACTCATCGGGCAGACCTAATATTTACAAAACATACACAGAAAACAACTCAAAGATATAATTCCAAATATTGACAAACAGTTGAAAGAAGCAGATCTGTTCTTCAACAAAGTTTTGCAACAGCGCACAGAGGAGAAAAAAAACATAGTATTTCTCAGTCAGCCTCCTAAACAACCAGATTTTTCCCTCCACCTCCCTTTAAAAAAAAGGAAAGCAATCAAAAAATGTCCATTAGCGGTCTGTTTCTAAACACTGTTCATGGTGAAAGACTTGAGAGAATACATGTTATTCTTCCCTGACTTCTCTCATACCTGACACCTGGATTTCTCTTACTCGCATTATCACTGTAATCTCACTATTAATCATGATTTCAAAATCGATTGTAATCTCACAATCACTACTATATGTATTCACATAGATCCTTCTTGCTTTGCACGCATCTTAAGTAATTCAGCCAAGGTGACAAAGATGTCAACACCAGAGCAAGGAACCGAGCACTGGTTTACTGAGTCACAGGCTTACACCCTTATTACTGACGAGTCTTCCTATCCTAAATGTTTGCTTTTACTCCTATCACCAAGGTAGGACCGAGGAACTCATACTCGTTTTGCTCAATCACAGAAAGATAAAATGTTCTCTCTTTTAAGCAAACTTACAGAAACTTTTCATAAGGAAGTCTGAATCCATTTAATGAGATCAAGACACATTCGTCAAGGCTGACTGCCAGGAAATTCCCTGCATAAAACTCAGCCACGTGTTCTGAGAGTCTTTCAGTTCTGCTTCATAAAACTTACATCTTTTAATGAAGTTTAACCTTTTAATGTTTATTTCACTTGTCATCGAGGACAATAATTCCTTCAAGCACTCTTCAAAAAGTATATTAAATGGTCTATGAAACCCTACGTAATGTTAGTAAAGAAAACAAAAAGCAATTAAATAAATTAATAATTCCACAGAGCTATACTGCTTTTGCAGGGCATCTTGAATCTGTTAACCTATCTAGCAATTTTTTGCTTGTAATGTCCTGATATCCACTACAAGAGCATACTCAATGTGGGTATGTGTGTGTATTTGGTAGCAGAGAGGGAAAACAAGATAATCAGATATTTCTGTATTTTTCCCCCACCACGTATCAGCTATTAACCGGGCATTCAACATGCAGAAAGCTCTCATCTTTTAAGAATCACGAGAACTGCAGATTTTTTGGTTCACTTGTGAATCAGAATGGTATTTTGTGTTTCCGAGGACAACCCCCAAAACGAAATCACTACCTCTGGGCTGGAAGAGGACCTTTTCCTTAAGCTTAAAATCATTCCGAATCAAAACAAAATGCTTTTCATTTGGCAATATTTCTGACAGAAGGAAGGGTCTAGGCACCACTGCTGAGGTTCATGCAGGAATTGTTAAAAACATAGTACTCTAAAAATAAGGAATCTCTGGTTCAGCATCCCACTGTGGACCTGACACAAAAAACACCTCAGCTTCTCCTCCTATGGCTGTTCATCCTAACCCTCATGGCAAATGGTCCTGAGGGGAAGCTGATGCTCTTCCCCCCCACCGTGTGTTATGTCCACATTCTCTTGAGAGATCTCTGCCCAGGAGTCGTTCCTATGGAAGTTTTTGGCTCTCTTCGGGGAACCTGTTTCAGGAAGGACTGCAAGCAGTACATTTCTAGCTGTGCATGTCCGGGTGTCATTGAGCAAAAACCAACCAACCAAAATAAAAATCGCCAACCCCCTGAACATCTGTCTCTGCACTGGTTCAGTCTAATTACACTCCCTGACTCCTTTTGGTCAGATCCTGCTCGCCGTGAATTCTCTGGCAAAACTCTCCTTATTGTCAGGGCTGCAGTGGGGGCCTGCAGTTCTCTGTTTGATTTGGTTTTGTTTCCTCATTGCCGGCTACGTTAAGGCTCCCTGCAGCTGCTACAGGCAGGTCAAACTGACTGGTTGGGTCTCTGCAGGCACAGCCACTCCCTGCCCGCCCATGCTGACAGGTTTAACCTCTGCTTCTCAGGAGTGCCAAGAATGCTGTCACAGTGACTCCACATACTTTCCCTGCAACGAAGAAAGGTTGGGAATGATTACTATTTGCCACGCTGGAGTGCCCCGAGTCTGCAATTAGAGGTCAGAGCCTGCTAGGGATGCCATGGTCCACATATGCCACAGTCCGAGAAACACTGAAATCCTGCCTCAAAACAAACAACCTTCAGGACGTGGAGATTTTTCAGAGGCCTGCGAGAACCTGTGAGGAACCTTTACAAACTAGGAAGAAGAAAAACACGGGGAGCTCAACCCCTTCAGAAAGGTCAGGGGCTTGCGCTTCTCGACAGTAAGACAGGATGAGGACAAGGATGTTATGTTCCCTCATCCCAGGCAGTCCCAATGATAAAAAGAAGGACGATCTATTTTAAGGGGCTTACAGAACTGCCTGCCTGAATGGCAGGGAAACAGCAGGTGCAAGGCAAAGGGGAGGGACCTTTGTTAAGGAAAGAGGAAGAAAAAAATATGCAAGAAAATAGGCAGCATCTCTGTTAAGAATGCAGTGAAAAAATGGTCTGGCTAAGTTGTCTAGGATACCTAGAAGTGTCTTCAGACCCTCACTTGTGCAAGCACTATAGAAAAGACCTTGAACTTCTCTCAACTGGTTTAGCAGTGCATTTTCCTTCTGTTTCTGTTCAGATTTGAGGATGTTCTACATGAGAAGGATGCTTAGCCAAGTTCAATGGGTCCCCCATCGAACCTCTATTTTACACGGCCTGTAACAAAATAAACCTACACCCGTTATGAATAAATAAAATACAGCCTACACAAGAAGAGAGATTTGAGAACACATTAGCAAGGCATCCAACTGGATTGACTTCAAATCCTAGCCCTGAGGTTTCACTCCAGGAATTTGTTTTGAATATCTTTTAAGGAAAATATAGCACATCTGACTGCGTAGATTATTTTAAAATGAAGTCTTCAAAAGGATTCAGTGAAGACGGGAATTTGTGAACTCATAACATCCCTTTTCATTTCTAAATCAAGAAAAGAAACGGACTTTCTTCAACCAATGCCCTTTGAGATTAGTCTATTTTATAATTGGCTAGAAACTGATCCAAGAAGCTCCATCGCCTGTATGATTTCAGACCCTACACACAACTCAAGCCATTACTCGCCCTCATCACAACTTGTGCTGTCAAACTTGTACTACTATGTCAAGTTTCAGCAACTGTGCCAATTGTATGGAGCTTCGCCATCTGAAGGTGCACAGCTCAATCCATTGTTAAGTATAAAGGTTTAAAAAAACAACCCAACAGAAGCCCACACCTATGGCTAAGCCTTTCACCCAATCAAACAATTGATATCAATATACCAGATGCATTCTTCCTCCAGTGCTGCAAGAGTAAGTGGTATTCCTGTTTGGAGAAAAGACATCTTCTGGGATCCTATCACACAGCCGCTGAGTGTAACCGTTGCTGAAGTTCATACAGTGGCCATTTGTGAAACATACGGCGTGCCCGCTTGGGTAATGCATCGTGCTTCTCCCTTTGTACTGTCCGCCAAGGTGCTGCTCACTTTCAGGGTACTGAGGGCCGCTGAGCCCACTAACACAGTGCTCACTGCTCATCATATATTGTTCAGCGTTCTTTGACACTCTCTCCCCACCCTGGGACTGCATCATCTCTGCTGGGTTTTGGGACTGCTCCTGGTTGTACATGAAAGTATCTTTGTGGGCCCTAGTGACCATACCAATCACTTCTTCCTTAGCCATGTCAGAGCTAGGAGGGGGAGAGGGGCTTTTGAGGGTTTCCCGCTCTTGCTTGGGTTTAGAGGAAAGCTCTTCTTGAGGTGCTTGATCTTGATGTTCTGCTAATGCTTCATTGGGTAAGTGGCCGCTGAACTGACTGTTCATCATGGTTTTCATGGCACTCTGCATCTCAATCAGCATCCTCTGCTTCTCGCGCTTAGGAATGCGGCCAAATCGAACAGCTACCAAGGAGGAGAAATAAAAAGTTAAAGTCAATCCTGGAAGCATTAGAGCAGGCACAGACATCAAACCAGAACAAAAAAACAGCGTGAACATGCACAAAATACACATCCCGACCAATAACCTTGCTTGAGGGCTTTTACTGCTTTCAGCAGCGCTGCTGCAGGGGTATTACCACTTAAGTCAAAGAGTTTCCTGGGCACAGGATAGGCATGAGATATGAACTATATGATGCTGTTTACATACAAAGAAAAGGCAGCTATAAAGCACATAAACACTGAAGTCCTTCCCCCTTCTTCTACAAATTTAGCTATGGACTATACACACAGTTGAGTCAGTTAATTAAGTGGCAGGCTTTGAGGTTGGATCAATTAAATCAGCACAACTTTGTGTGCTGACAATTAGCTCTATTTAAACACAGTTCATATCATATTTGTACACAAGTTCTGCAAGACAGCTCCTCATGGACCAATTATGTAACTTGCCAAAACAGTGGAGAGAATCAATGCAGAATGAGGCTTACCTTGGCAAACTTTCCTGATAACTTTGCCTTGACAAAGACATTTTCTGCTGGCAAAGGGATGGGCATCATTGTGGCTGCAGCACTTTTGACCCTGTCCTGGGGAATCTGCACCTGCCTCTACCACCCCGTCCAACCACAGCCTTACAAGGGCTTGCAACCAGTTTCGACTGATGTAATTATGTTCATGCAGTAGTCCATCATTAATGTAACTAAATCTCTTTCATTAAAGCAGGTGCAACCTTGTGCGCAAACAAGCGCCTAGGGGATGAAATAACTCCTATGCACGACAAGAACTCAGAACAATTATTTAAAATAAGTTTTAACACCCCACCCACAGAATTATTAGCAGCCCAAGATTCCTAGTTCTTGTGAAATAAAAACCCAGAGAAAATTAAAAAGTGAAACAGAAGGAAGAGTCCTGTTTTGTGACAGTAAGTTGTAGCAGACTAAAAGCTACACTTTCAGCGCTACATTTAAGAAGTCACAAGGATCAGATAGTCAGCAACATGACCACTCAGTTCAGCATTATTCCCTTCCTCCTTGCTCCCTCAAGAAAACAAAACAACAACCAAAAAAAAAGACAAAAAAACAAAACCATGATGATATACACATGCTCCGTGCACCTAAAACTAACCCATTTGGCTCCATAATGGTTAGTCTAAGGCTATCCCAACTGCATAAAATCCAGTGAGCCTGATCCAACTCATATTAAAAAGCTGTTCTGTTCAATTCAACAAGAAACAGCCCAGGCAGAATTCCCTTTTATTGAAAAAACAACAGCAACAAAGAATCTGGTCTGGATTCAGGAAGGAACCACTTCAAATATTAACTGAGTAAAACAAGATCAAGACTCCTGTTCCACCTATGCCCCTAACAGACCACTGCAGTGCACCACACCCTATCAACCTCCAGGGAAGGGAGGACGGTTCCTTGGCCAGCATTATGTTACCAGTTCGGGACAGTCACAGGGCAAGGTGGCAAGCTGATCTAAACGCACTCTGACGGGGAATCTGGCCCTGACAATAGGGTCAGCTGTGTTTTCTGTCATTAAGACCCTCAGCAATGGGTTTTGTGGTGGGCAGCAGATTCACTCGCAGAGGATCGCTGCGCAGGAACATACCATCTCTTGACATTCCAACAGACAGACATTTTTTGAAACGACACTGCTGGCATCGGTTCCTATTCATTCTCATTATAGAGCAGTTGTTATTCTTCAAGCACTTCTTATACTGGATGTTTTGCTGAATGCTTCTTCTGAAAAAACCCTGTAAACAAACAACAAAACCCCCGCAACTATTATTACAGCACATATCCAATCCTCCTGTCAAGATTCACCCCTCTGAAAGGACGGAGAGTTTCACCTCATCTCACTGTCTGCTTCAGGCCAACAGCCTGGAGTGATTTTAAAGAACTTGCTGCTCCTCGTGACTTACTTCCCCTCAGCCTGTGATCTGCATATAAAGCAATCTAGTTACAACTTCTAACTACAGAAGATGCTAAGTTCCTCCCTGCATAGTCAGCACCTAAGAGCACGGTATCTCCTGTATTATTTTCATCGCTGTACTCACAGTTTGTGAGATATGCCCTCAGCCTCCTAACGACATTAGCTGCAAAGGTGAAAGCCAAAATCAGATATTTTGACTTCAGCCTCCATAGTTTGGCAACAAAACCATCCTCTTGCACCATATGACTTTCGAAGGTGGATCTTCCACACAACCCCTAAGTTGACAAACTCCTTCACAGAACATAGTATCTGCAGTGCTACAGTATCTGAAAATACATGCATCCATTTTTTTTTTTCCCCCCCATGGTGAAGAATTGCTCTTCCAAAGCTGTTTTGTTCTGTGTCCCATCCCAGGTTACAACTCAAACCCACCATCTCCTAATGCAGATAACATTTGCATATCTTGCATACCGTGGTCCTTACCACCTCTGTCCCCAGTTTCTGTTCCCTGCCATGCACTCCAGGTCAGGCAGGATTGGAAAAAGGGAGAGAACAGAAAGTACTACACTTTGGAAAATGCTGCATATCATTAACTAGTTCGCCTTTTCCTACAGCTCATACTCTGCCTGAAAATTCTCAGATTTTTGTTTAACAGAGAATCATATCAATATATATATATATGCGAGTATATACATATTTTTGTCAGCAGTATCACCATTTTTCCCTCAAAGAAAGAACTAGGGCATTTCACCAGCAGGAAGGTGAGCAGAAATATACCTCACCTTGCAGCCCTCGCAGGCGTGAACACCATAATGAAATCCTGAAGCGACATCGCCGCAGACTTTGCAGAGGAGAACCATTCCATTGAATTCTAGAATCAGAACAACAACAAAAAAAAGTCAAGGATGTAGAAAATCAGTAACAACGGCGGGAACACGGTTCCAGCTTTTTAAAACCTAGTCTAAAAACAAAATATGTCAGGTCAGTTCAACATACAAAAAAGTACAGCAAGGGGACAGAAAACAAGGGTGTACGAAAACCTTGAACAGTTCAGAAGGTACCAGTGAATAGGAGGGGAGGAAAAAAAAAGAAAAAGAAAAAAAACATGAAGCACTCAACAGAATAAGGAGAAAGCATGTATTCATTGGACTTTCAATCACAGTAGCACTGTACTCATTTGTAGAAAACGAGCCTGCTTACATTTACGCATTTTTAAAAGGATCATTTAGGTAACTAGGCCACCAAAGTTTCAGCTCAATCTGTCTTTGCATCAGGACAAGGAAGCCCATATAATGGCTGCAGTTTCCTCAACTGAAAGCAGACATCTTTTCTTACACACTTCAACTTGAAAATACCTCCACAGCTCTGTAAATACGTTCATAGCTTAGGTTTTTGAAGTTTCCTCCTGCCCAGTTTTATTTCAGTTTATCAATAAAGAACTGCAAATCCTCAGCACTGGCCTAATGCTGGTTTTACTAAGCAAATGGGAATTTTACCAATGACTTCAGAAACCACAAAGTTACCTTAGCACTGAGTAACAGACACAGCTGGAATTACTCCAGCAGAACCATGTTCTACCAGAAGAGCAAATTTCTTTGACATTTGGGTTTCATTTGTAAAGGTTTTTTGTTGTTTTTTTTTTTAAGTTTTGAAAGAGAACCAAACCACAAAATTTCCATATTTTACAGAACTTGTATTGAGCTAAAATGTTATCTATCCACACACCTCTACAGTCTACAGCAGGTTTTGTCTTCAGAAACCTCCTCTGTCAATACCATAAACCTAGCTGCTAGCAAATTTAAGAGCAAGTAAAGTTTCTTACTAAGGAATTAGAGTAGCAACACTTTGAAGAAAAAAAATAATAATAATAATAATTTTGACAGATTTTTATGGTAGAACTGTTAGATAGTAATTCTAGTTTTGTAACAATTCAAAGTGATAAAACAATTCCGCCAATTAAAAGAATCCAGCCTTCAAAAAACCAGCTGATTGATGAAATACTCATTCCAGAACTTAGCATGATGCCTGCCCTTCTAAAACTCTTCAAATGTATTTCCTTGTTGTGGTCTTCTGTGAGTATCAGAAAAAGCATGAAGCAAATATAGCAGGAGCTAATTGTTAAACGCATTTTAAAAGGCTATGCTTTAGTCCCAACTTATGATTACTTTGCTTTAACATCCACAGTTTAAGACCTAGGATCATACATACACACACACACATATATATGTATACATATATATGTATATGTATGTGTGTAGATATATATATATATTATATACACACACACACAGGTCCAAGCTGCAGCTACGTAGGTATAACTTAACATTTTGGTAATTTATTTTGTTCCTCAAGAAATCTGGGGGGAAGGAAGGTAAGTGGGCAAAGGAGGGAGTATTAAAAAAAAAAAAAACAAACAAACAGACAAGCTAGATTTGCAAAACAGTTCCATAAATACTCCTTAAGGCAGTTTCTGATCACTACTATCACTGCATTATTCAAAACACTTCAAGATTATACAAGACTAATTCATCACATCTTTGTAACTGAGGGTTTGATTCTTATTAAAGATCGGTTTTCATTAGTGAAGACCTGAGATATAGCAGGACTGTTATTTCTGGACTGTTTGAAGCTAGCAGCAACGAGACCCCCATCTACGAGCATCTGTATGGTAGTATCATACCATATGTGTTGTCAGCAATGTAACACAAAAATAAAAAAACAACTAGGCTTTGCTACACGCCAGCAAAGGAAGGCACAGGGAGGACCTGCTTGTAACACACACACAGCTCCAGACTGTCGGGATGTGAAGGGGAAACTGGCAGTTTCGCCAAGAGGCACCGAACATACTTGTGACTCCGTTATGGCCTTTTGTCAAGCCAGCAACACCCGACTGGCTTGGTTTAACAGTCTCCTCCAGCCGGTCGCTCTTTGGTGCCCCGTCAGAGCCCTCGCTGCTCCGGCCATTGCAGCTGCTTTCTGAGGAGGAGCTGTTCGGAGAAGATGGTACAGGAGAGGAGGATGACTGGAAACCGCTGTCTGAGCTCTCGCTGTGACATGAGGCTGGGCTAGATGCCGAGCTTGAAGAGCTGATGTAAGCTATCACACCCCCTAAGGCAAGAAAAAAAAGGCGGCATGTAGTGACATAACGAGCAGGCATGCACCACGGCCATGTGAGCCACGCCATGACCCAGCACCGCCAGACCCGGCTCTCACGTGTTCCTGGATGCTCTCCTTCCCTGCCCTCCCTCGCGCTCGTGTCTCCCCATCAGCCCGCAGCGGGTGACCTCCCCGCCTGCCCCAGCCGCCTCTCTCCCCTTATCAGCTGCCTTCAGTCGGCGCCGCGACTGCACGCAGCCACGGCGCCCGAAAACAGAGCAGAAAGGCACAGTGCAGGGAGGGCTTCCCCGGCAGCCCCCTGAGCAGACCTTGTCAGAGCACAGGCAAAGGCCAGGGAAGAGACAGGACCTCAGCGCCGCGAGGTCAGGACAGGTGAGGGACAGAAATAGGGCAGAGCAGAAGGCTCCACGCAGGCTACAAGCTGGAGGCACGGAAAGGAAGGGCTGGGAGGTGCTCGGATGCAGAAGGGAAGCAAGCTAGGGAAAGAAGTAGCGCTGCAGCACGGTTAGCCTATTAAATGCCATTTGTCCTATGGCAAGCCTTTGTAGCACTTCTAGCAGCAGCCAGGCTGCTATTTGCAAGGCACGGCAGGGCAGAGACCGCTTGCAATCTGACACACTCAAGGATCCTTCAGATGAAACAGCTTTTTGTCCTCGGGCAGACACGGGAGCAGCCGGGGCTTTTCGCAGCCTCCTTTTTCTTGCTTTATAAGCGAGAGGAATTGCTCTCACGAGCCTGTCCCTGCGACTCGCTATTTCCAAAGCCAGTAGGAAAGCGCTCGACATTTCGCACGCAGGGGTCCGACAGAAGCCTCGTCACAGCGGGATTCCCCAGGCCAGCAGGCATTAGGGCCGTGAGGGCAGCCAGGGGCTGGCTTCCTTCACGGGTCAGCAGCAGTTTGTGCCAGCGGAGCCCTCACCGAGCGGCCGCCTCATGAGGCAGCTCCGTGTGCCCCCTCACAGCTAAAGGCTGACGGGCCCTGGGGGTGCCACACAACCTGCTCCTGAGGCAGGAATTTTGAGTTCTGCGACAAATTTTGGAGTTTTTATCACCCGCAGAGGTGCTCCCAGCATTTCTGCACCAGCTCTCCCAGCCTTGCGGTGTGTATCACCAGGACAGCCCCATGGCAGGGGTCAGCCCCGGCACACACCCGTGCGCTCGGCCGCTCCTCGCCCCCCGCCCTCACCCCTCTGTGGGGTTTTTTATTCCCAATCCTAAGGAAAAAGCTCCGCTGCCAGCCGCCGGGGCAAAGCTCAGAGTCCGCCGCGTCGTGCTGCCGGCAGGCGCCACCCTGCTGCGGGCGGGGCTGCAACATTTGGGGGATTTCAAAGCCTGATTTGTGTGTGTCCCCCCCCCCCAAAAAAAAAAAAAAACCAACGGTTTATCGCGGCCAGCCGTTACTCGGCCGCTCCCTGAGGGGCCGCCTGACAGCAGCACCTGAGGGGGCCCCCCCGCTCCTCGCTCATCACCCCCCGTTTTAAAAAATATATATATAAAAACACGTTATTTTTATTTATTTAATTAAAAACGCTGCCTTTCCACCGGCCCAACCAGCGGCGCGGCGCGGGGCCGGTGCTGGCCCTGCCCGGCCCCGTTACACAACGCCCCCCCCCCCCTCCTCCTCCTCCTCCTCCTCCTCCTCCTCCTCCTCCTCCTGCCCCCCCCTCCCCAACCGGCACCGGGCCGGGCCACGTGAGGGGCGCGCGCACACGGCCGCGCGCGTGCGTCCCCCCCCCCCTCCCTCCCCTCCCGTTCCCCAACGGCCGCCGCCCTCCGCCAACGGTCACCTCCCTCCCCCCCCCCCCCCCCCCATATGTAGGTCAGGGCAGAGCCGCGCGGCCGCCCTCACGTGTCCCCGCCGCCCGCCGCCCCGCGCCGCCGATTATGCAAGGCTGCGCGTCACGGCGCGGCGCGGCCAATCAGCGGGCGCGCCGCGCGGAACGTAAACACAGCGCGCACATGGCCCCGCCGCGCCGGACATGTGAGCGGAGCGGCCGCCCGCAAGGCGCCGCGGGGGCGCGCGCAGGGGGAAGGGGGAAAACGAAAAGGAAAAAGATGGGGGGGGGGGCGCGCGCCGCACCCGCTGCACCGCGCCCCCGCTGCACCCAGCGCCCCGCACCCCGCTTACCCGCGCTGACTTCCATGGCGGCGGCGCCCCGCTCTGCTCTGCTTCGCCCTGCCTCGCCGCCTCGCTTCCCCTCCCGGCCGTGTCTCGGTGCCGGCTGCTGTCAGCGCGGCTCGCAGCCCGCCCGCCCCTCCACAACAAAAGCCAGCGGCGGCCGCGCACAGTGCGGCACCGCCACAGCCCCGCCCCGCCCCGCCCCGCCCCTGAGGCGAGGCCACGCCCCCTCCCCCAAGCCACGCCCCCTCCTCCCCGCCGAGGCCCCGCCCCCTCACCCAGTGACACACTTTTCCGCGCCGCGCGCGCTCACGTGCGGCGGGCGCGTGCGGCGCTGAGGTGGGGGGGGGCGGCAATATGGCGGCGGGGGGTGAGGTGCCCGCCTGAGGCACCTCAGGAGCCTTCCTCGGCTCATACAGCGCCAAAGTGTCCCTCAAAAAGCACTCCCCAACCCCCCCGAGGGACACGGTTCCCTCTGTGTGTGCCCCTCCACGCAGCGCAGAATAAATCCTGTCACGGAGAGGCAGCGTTTGTGCTCCTGTGGTGCCTCTCCTCGCCACACAAAAATCAGGGAGGCTCCTGGTGACCACCTAGAGAGCTGCCTAGGGTCCATGCCTTTGGTGCTTCAGCCTCCGTTTGCTGAGGGAGACCTCGTTGCTCTCCACAACCACCTGAAAGGAAGGTGTGGGGAGCTGGGGGTCAGCCCTTTCTCTCAAATAACCAGCAATAGGACTAGAGGGAATGGCCTCAAGTTGCGCCAGGGGAGGTTCAGGGTGGAAATTCAGAGACATTTCTGCTCAGAGAGAGCAGCCAGGCACCGGGACGGGTTGCCCAGGGAGTGGTGGAGTCACTGTCCCTGGGGGTGTTCAAGGAGAGGCTGGACGTGGTGCTTGCGGACATGGCTTAGTGGTGACATTGGTGGTAGGGGGGTGGTTGGACCTTGGAGGTCCCTTCCAACCCTAATGACTCTGTGACTCTGTGCTGTTCCCTGCGGAAGGCTTGCGGTGCTGAGAAGAGACTGAAGCAGGACTATCAACACGCCAAGGAGCAGAAATGGGGAAAAGCACAGAAAGTGAGACAGGAGGCTTCCACCTGCAGCTTCTCCCCTCCCTTCTCACCCCCAGGAAGAAACACAAGAATTTCCCCTCTTCCCCCTTCACCCCACGCTCAGGGAGCAGCCCGAGCTGCATCCTTAAATTCCTGAGATATCCGAGCGACTCCCCGCCTGTGCTAAACACTCCCCTGCCCCTGGGTGGGAGACCGCACAGCAGCATTGCCGCAACGAGGGCCGGCTGGGCTGCCAGCTGCAGCTGATAGCTGGACGGTGGGACAGGATGCGCCTCGGCCACCTCACCAGAGGTATGCGGCATCCGATGACTCCTCTTTCCTCAGGCCTGGTGGTTGCTGAGGTCAGGACAGGAGGCCGGTCCGTGTGGAGAGGCCCTCCTAACCCACCCCACGCCAGCCAGGGACCCACCAGTTTCTGTCAGCAGGGATGTGCCTGCTTTTGGAAGGGTTGGGTTTCTCCAGTGCCTGGAACACGTACAGCGGGATTCATTTGATCCCCAAACACCCACTTTGCAAAGAGGAAAAATATGTTTACGCAAAGCCTGCCAAGGAGCAGCATCTTTTCAAGCCTCAACAACTCCCGGTGTTTTCTGCTTCTTTGTTCCTATTATTCCAGGAAAAAAATCCTATAACCTATTCTTTCTCTCGTTGACTGATGCTCACAACTACGCCGGCATTTTCACAGATCTACAGTGACTCCAAGGTCTCTTCCCTGCTAATTCACAGCTAATGATGGTTTACAAATAATGAAGGTTATTTCTGCCCCACATGAAATACTTTGTCACTGCTTTTCTGTCTGCTCGGTTTGCTTCCCGAGGTCCTTCTGAAACACGCAGTAATCTGTCCTGATCGATTTTGTGCTCCGCAGCTGCAGGTGGAACCAGTTCATACAAGCACACTTCTCTTAGGTGAGGCAGCTGATACCAAACCCTATACCCACGTTTCCAGCTTCTTTACAGCAAAGATTTACCTATCATCTTCTGTCACTAGCTTAAAAACTGCCCTCTAAAAGTCACTATGATGATAGCTATAGCCACGACTTCTTACCTACATTAATGATATAAATAGCAATAACTCGCCTAACTAATCTCAGCCTCTGGAAGCCAGTGGAAATTTTTCTATTGACTGTAGTGGGTCAAGCCCTACACAGTGTTTCCTGACCCCTTGCCCTACTTATTCTCTGTTTCTGTTTCCCATACACGTCTAACTGTTCAGCTGGCTGCACTTTGTTTTTCTCCCTGTTGAAGCAAAACCCTGATAAGGAGGTCCCAGGGGTCTTCAGCTTGTCATCGCATCCCTTTGCGGACCGAATGTGTGCAGAACGCTTTAGGAAGAAGCAAAAGCTAAATATAGACCAGTTTAAAGCCTACCCATTAAGGGCATGCCTACATGACACGAATGCAACTTGCTTAGGTACCAGGAGCAGTGTAGTCATGGAGCTAAGTATAACCGAAACAGAGGAACTGGCTCGCAAATTGTTCACCCGCTCACACATCCTGTCTCTCCGTGCCAAGTATCAGAGGCTTGGAGGAAGATATAAAAGCTCATAATAGCCAGTTAAATGCTAATTTGCCCATAGGGTAACTTTCTTCCTGATTCAGCTCTTTAGCAGCCGGGTTATGGCCTGAAGCATGTAACACTTAAGCTTTTCTGTCTTTAACCAAGTGTTACTGCAGATGTGCTTTTTATACACAGAAACTGGTAATGCAAGTGATAATAGAATTAAAAGTACAGGAAATAATCTCTTGTAGAAGTGGCACGTTACACCTAGCCTCAGCTGCCCCTGCAGTTTTTCATGGACAGTGAGGACTTGGACCTTTATTCCAGCAAGACAAAACATTTTTTTGCAATAATTATAATACAAATAATAAAAAGCCTGTTCTTTTTTTAATGGCAGTAATATCGCTGCCCACCTTTTCCTTTCTGTGCTATAAATTACTTCATCTGCCGCTACATCAGCTGCTTATCCAGCAAGGAAATCAGCAGCTAATGAAACAAAGATGAGAGTATTTATTGCTTGATTGGGCTGATCACAATTCTGGGGAGATGAGCAGAGCAAATTGTGTTAAGGATGCACAAAAACTGCCCCTTACTTTCACCGAAACACCAAGATTTGGTGCCACAGCATCCCAACCCCATGTTACAGGGACCATTGGTTCTGACGCATTGGTCCAGAGGAAGAGGGTTGCCTTTTTACATCTTGACAGAACAAAAGCTACTACACTGAAATCAGAGAAATTTCTCTGGGGGACAAACCAAAGCATATTCCTGCACAGAGAATGATCACACGCAACTACCCACAGGATAGCTGGCAATTTAAGAGCCGGGACAGCTTCATACTTTTATCAGCTCTGTGTAGAGCAGAGTTTTTTTCCTGACTGTTGTTGTTGTCTCAGTGTGGCTAACTTGGAGGTCATTAGATGAGTTAAGGTCTGATGCTTCGTGGTGCTGGGTTGCCTCAGGAGGTGAAGCGTGAAATACCCCATCAGACCTTGTATCCTCCTGGATCAGGCCCAGCTGATGAAACTTCAGTTCCTAAATGCTGTCTTCCCTGTTCTGCCAAGAGCCCGAAGAGTTAAAGTTATTAACTGGCTTCAGAATAAAATGCATTAGGAATAAATATGCTTTAGGATAAACCTATTAAATGGATAAAAATGCCATTACCAGTGGTGAAATACGATTGTGTGACCTTTTAAATAAATAAGCCTGCTATGCACCAAATTATGTCAGATAATAAGCTTTATACATGATAAAGTCATGCAGTCGCTCTCAATCTTCAGGCTTTCAATGAGATATCGCTAGCCATAAAGGGCTTCTGAAATGTTACAGTAAAGAAATTGCTTCCGGCTATAAAAATTTAACCACTAAAACAAATGTAGTTTCTCATAAAATTCTATGCGAGGCATTGGTGGTTAGAGGGAAAACTTGCTAGAAACAATCCAGAGGTATCCAAACTATTTTGAAAATACACAGCCCTTCGTAAAATAACTCGGATTCTGGGTAAGTCTGGAAAAGCTCTGTTGGAAGGAAAACGGTTATAATCCCATAACACCAGTCAGATCGAAATTGTGTTCCTATGGTCATAGAAATATGCTTGTGGGATGTGTCTGGATACAAACGTTGCTATGGATCCAGGCTAACCTACACCAGTAATTTTGGTGCTTGAACAAACAGAGGAAATGCTGAGCTCTCTGGCTGCCCTGTATCTTGGGGCTGTCCGTGCTATGCCTCAGCAGCTTGCCCAGATCGCTTCTGACGTAGCAAGGGTGGAAACAGAGCTGGATACGATCAGCTTGGTGGGTAGAATCAGCCGTGTTTCATCAGTCAGCCACCAGCTTCACGTAGGGCAGAACTGGCTCTCTGCTGAAAGTCAGAGGCCATTTGAAATGGCCTAAACCATTGCCAGAAAAAAAAGAATGAATGAAGTAAAATCTCTCTTTCATTCCAGCGATGACGAGCAAAAACCTCCTGGTGAGGCATGTACAAGTTTTAATCAAATCATCAGGGTCGCTTCATCTATTGTTGCACGAACATCGGCGAACGCCTGCAATTCCCAGCTGGGGTCTAAAAGACAACGCCAGGGACTGAACACTCCTGGAATTCCCCGCCACAATCAGTTATCATCTCCAAAGGCAATGTTGAACAACATATCAGATGTTAACACAAGGAAGCATTCCTGTTCTGCTTTGTTTTGTTTTCAGAGCTGGGAGAATGTAAACACTTTATTATTATTATTATTATTTTGAGGATAGAAGGAATCTCGTTCACCTCCAGTGAGCAGCACTGGCAGTTTTTCACCAACACCCTAGCCAGCACAAGCCAATACGTCTGTCCAGGCAGGAGCTCAGCCGCATCCCGAAGTACCTCCAGACACTTGCCCTCTTGTTTTATCGCGACTCCTCAAGAACAGTCAATTGTGAGCATAAATCCTGCAGAGCCGGCACGTGATCGGCGGCGGCGGACAGCTGCTCGTTATATAATCCCTCCAAACCATTGATGCAGCACTTCCCAGCGAGCAATCGCCTTGCTCTGAGTCATCTGGAAAGTCTCCGGCTCCGTGAGCTTCCAGGAGCAGACCCGTCCCGACAGGTTGGATTTCCACTTCCCATTTCAGATTACAGGAGGTGC